CTGCGGCGGCGAGCGAGGGGCGAAGTGAGGAGGAGGAAACGGTACTCCAGATTTCGTAATAAAAGGGAGGGGGTCTGGACCCTCCAAGACAAGCCATTTCAGACCCCCCCTCGTGGGAGAACCCGCCAAAACATCGTCCCCAGACCCCCCCAGGCCCCCCCGAAATGAGACCCCCCCTCCCTTTATTACGAAATCTGGAGTGTCCATACCACTGCCTTTCCCGCGTTTTCCTTTGTTTTCCCACTTCCCAATTGGCGTTCTTGTTGCCTCTGGACACCCCGCTCAGGAGCAAGAGCCCGCATCATCATCATCCTCAGCATCAACAACTTCATCATCATCATCATCATCATCATCATCATCATCATCATCATGCTTCTTCTATTCTCTGTGAGCAAGCTCCTGCTGTCTCCGCAGCTTCTCTGCCCAAGTGCCCCCCCGTCGGCCGCGCGTGCGGACGCCTTATGCAGGCGGTCGCACAAGCGGCTCTCGGGGGCGCTGGGGAGATCTTCTTCAGGGGGCTGCGGGCCGCGCTCTACGAGCGGCTCGTGTCTGCCCCCCTCTCTGTGCTTCAGGACCAAGGGCCTCCTGCGCCTGCCTGGTCCATCCAGCAGGCGGACTCGTCCGAGGGTGAGGGGGTTTACTGCCCCCTCCCTTCGGCGGGTTCCGCCTGCCCCACCGTCTGCCTCGGGCTGGCGGTGGATCTGAGCGGCGGGGTCTCTCCCTGGCTGCTCAGCACGGTCGTCGCCCTCCTTTGGGTGACGGCCGCGTGCAGCGCCTGCGCAGGCTGCTGCTTCGGGCTGCTGGGCCCGTACGTGTGGCGGAGGCTCAGGGCCTCCGCCTGGCCGCGCGGTGCGGTTCCTGCTTCCCCTGAGCAGGACCGCCGTGCGGCGCGAGCGCTGGCTTACGGGGTTCCGCCTCGGCCTCGAGCGCTCGAGCGGGCAGGCGCCCAGCATTCGGGCGGCAGTTCCCACGACAGCGCCCATTGATGGCTGAGCTGCCACCAGTTGGCGGAGGGCCTCTATGGCCCGAGCTCTACCCATTCGCGGCTCCCACGGCTCGCGATTACGCACGATGGCGCCTAGACGACGGCGACACCAGCTGGGCAGCTATCCCCCTCGCGTCTCGAGAAGGGGGCATCCTTCTGGCCCTGCCTGGCGCCTTTCGCTCTACGGCGGAGCTCGTGGCTGCCGAGGCGGATGGCTTTGCAGGAATGATAGGCCCTTTCCAGCTAGTGGACGTCCAGCTCCAGGGGGCCGCTTCACGGCCGCTCGCCACTACTGCATCCGTCCTCGTCGTAGATATCGAGGTTGCAGAGCTCGAGCTCGAGTCGCTTTACCCTCTAGAGGTCGGGGAGGACGCAGTCATCGTTCCCTTCGCCGAGGTGCGGGGCCGCGTCTATTGGCCACATCCTTCGGGGGTTCGGGTGCTTCGCGAGGGCTACGCACGCTTGCACGGCGCCCCGCCTACTGCAGGAGAAGAGCCGCTCCCAGGGGCCGATCGGGCTACTCCCTATCACTCTGCCGACGAGATGGAGGAGCCCGAGGGGTTCGCGGCCGACGGGGAAGCCGACCGCACGGCCCCAAGTGCGCGATCTCCCGCGGACGCTGGAGCGCCGCGCGGCCCGCCCGCGAAGCGCGCGGGCACCGCCGCGCCGCCACGGGTCGCGGGTCCCGCTCCGATCGCTCCTGGTGCCCCTGCGGCGTCTCTGGACGACGGGGCTCCTATGACCCGTGCCGAAGTAGCTGCCGAAATGCGCGCCTTGCTTGCAGCCCACGCGGCCTCCACGATGGTCGGCAGACCCGAGCCGCTGGGCCCCGCGCCGGCTGCCCGGAGCGATCGGCCCGAGGTGCCTCAGCTTTTCAGCGACGAAGCGGTGCGCCTCGGGCTGGATCCTGCGGGGATCGAGGCCGTCCTGTCTCACGCGCCCGTGGCCCCACAGCGGGTCTCCGCGCGTCCCAAGGGTCCGACCTCCGCGCTGGTCTCGGCGTGGGAAAAGGCGCGCTCTCTTGCTGTCCCTCGGGCCCCTTCGTCCGGTTTCGGAGCGATGGGTCCCCCGCCGCCACCTGGGCTAGCCCATCCCGCTGCGGCCGACGGCTTTGCCGAGGCGGGCGGCGCCGACGGGTCAGAGCCGCCCCATGCGGCCAATCCGACGGACTTCAGCCTCATGCTACAGTGCCTGCACCAGTCCCTCCTATTGCAGCAGGGGCGGGGCCATCGCCCAACCGTCCATCCGCTTCTGGGGACCCTGAGCGACTCAGCTCAAATTCCGCCCACGAGCTCGGGCGACCCCGCGCCCGCATCGGCCCAGATGGGGGGCATTGCTCGGAGGCGCGAGTGGCAGCAAGCGCTGCTACAGCACGGCCCCGATGTGCGAGGACTGATGAAGGAGAATTTGGCCCGTGTCCTGGGCGTGGAAGTCAGCGCCGTGACCCCCATGGCCATGCATCAGTATTTTCGGGAGCACAGTCCCTTGGGGGCTCAGCCGACGACGCACGAGTTGTTGACGCATTTCGCCTTCCTCAGCGCCGAGCTGTGGCGGGCCTGCGAAGAGGGCAACCCCGAGAGAGTCCAGACTTTACTGACGTGTCAGTGCATGTTCATCGACCAGCTGGCGGGGGACCGCGGCTATCTCGAGGCCGCCTGGTTCCTTACGGGGCTGGAGCCTCCCCCGTGTCGCGTGACCAGTCGTCGCACGGAGCGCGAGGCCCAGACCCCGTTCTCACCCCTGGTGGATCCTCGCTGGCTGTCGGCGCAGGGCGAATACGTGAAGGAGCTGCAAGCATTTCGGGCGCGTCTCGACGCCGAGCGCGCCGTCGCGCTCCCCAAGCATCCACCTCATCAGCCCAAGCAGCCCAAGGTTTCGAAGCCCCCCTTCAAGTCCCAGGGTGCGTCCAAGGCACCGAAGGCGGTGCCCAAGAAGGACTGAGGGCGCCTTTGGCGCCCGCCTCCTGGAAGGGTGGGCCTTCGCGGGGCCGGGGTGCGCCGCCGCACGCAGTCTGCACCGACGCTGTTGCGGCTGCTAGGCGCGTTTGGGCTCAGCGAGGGCGTGAGGGTAGGAATGCGCTCTTCCAGCGATGCTGTTGCGGCCCCGCAGGGAGGAGTACGTTCCGCCACCACGCCCTTCGCTCTGCTCCGAACCGCTTCTCGGATCCCTTCGGCCATTTTGGCCGACGCCTGCCTCAGTCGAGCGCGCCCTCCAGGGGGCCTGCAGCTCCTGAGGTTGGTGTCCCTGCTGGTGCCTGTTCTCCTTCAAGCACCCCTGCTGCTCTTGCCAAAGTCGCGCCATTCGTCGCTGACTTGTCTGCCTTGCTGCGCCTGTTTCCAGGCGCGAACATTGATATCACCCACTGGGCGGCAGCGCTGTCCCAGGTTGGGATGGGTGCTCGATGTTCTCTTGGATCTTTCTCCCGCTCATCTATGCGTGCAATGGACAGGGACGACCCGTACCTTTTGGGGCCGCCTCCCCGCGATCCTTGGCCGTGCCCGCCTGCTCCACCTCTTGGTCCCCCGCCTGACGGCTTGTCGGCGAGGCGCAGGGAGCGCTGGAGATTGCGGCGCGCGGCGCGGACGCTCGCGCAGTATTCTGTTATTGCGTTGAACTGGCTCACCTTGGGTCATCCTAGCCTCGCTCCCGCCGAGGCTCGCGTCCGCGCCACGGTCTCGCCCTGCCAGGAGGGCGTCCGCACCCGTATCGAACGGTTGTGTCGGATCGCAGTTCGCCTCGCCCGTGGCGGCAAGAGCGACTTAGGTCGAGCCTTCGCCAAGTTCGACTCCACTGAGGTCTCGCTCCATGGCCTGGCCACCCATGTTGCAGCTTTGGAGGCCTCCTTCACTTCCTCTTCTTCCGTACCCGCCCCCATGCGGCACTGCCCGACCAGCGCTCCTTCTGTGCCTGGTTCGTTGGCGGCTGCGGCGGCTTGGGACTCCACCCAGGCCGAGCCCTTCGATTTGAAAGTCAGGGCGTCTCGCATCAAGTGGGATTATTCGCCAGAGTTTGATCCCGTTCCCTTCCTCTCCGACGCTCGAGTCCGCGAAGCTTTCATCGATCCAGAGGTGATGCGGCTACCGGCATCAGAGTGGCCTGCTGGCCAGAAGGGAGCGCGCGTCCATATGGACCGCGCCGAGCTGTGGGCCCTACTCCAGAAGTGGGATGCCTGTGGCGCCCTGTACCTGACTCCTGCTTCGGACCTCGCCTGGGATGAAGCCTGTGGAGCTTTCAGGGTACCGAAGGACAGCGATTTCGACAGGCTGATCCTGAACCCCACGGTCGTGAACAGCCGCTGTGCTTCAATTTCGTCCAGCACCCAGCGCCTTGGCCAAGGTTTCCTGCTGTGCCGTTTGGGGCTGGCACCTGGGGAATGGCTGGCAGTTTCTTGTGACGACCTACGGGAGTTTTACTACACTTTCCGCGTCCCTCCCGCGCGCGCCAGACGTAACGCCCTGCGCGTTCGTCTGCCATCATCTCGCTTCAAGGCCTTTCGAGCCTGGCGCCCCGAGCTTGAAGGTGTGGATGTCGCGCCCTGCCTCAATGCTCTGGCGATGGGCGACAACATGGCTGTGGAGATTGCCAACTCTGCGCATGAAGGCGTCTTGCACAGCTTCGGGGCTTTGCGGCCTCACGAGCAGGTTGTCCACCGCTCGCCCTTCCCGCGGGGCCCGTTTGTCGAGATGCTGAATATTGATGACCATACAGGTTTTCAGAAGCTCTCGTGGCGTGGCTCCGCTCCTCGCCCCGACGACCCGTGTCGCCGTGATCGTGAGGTCTTTGCCGCCTGTGATGCGGGCTACCCGCGCGTGGGCCTGATACAGCATCCAGGCAAGCGCGCGCGCGGCGAAACGCACAAGGTGGTGGTGGGCGCCGAGGTGGAGGGGCGCATAGGCATCGTCTGCGCTCCTCTTGTGCGGACGGTGGCCTTGTGCAGGCTGACCCTGATCCAAATCTACCTCGGGATCACCACCCGCTCCCTGCTAGCCTCTCTTGTGGGCTGCTGGGTCCAGGT